CCTGTCAATCGGGCTATCCTGGAACACTGCCCTCTCCCCCTTGGTCGTGGGGACCGTTAGTCGCAGGATCCTGACTTCTCTTCAGCCCATCCCCTCCATTTGGTATCGGGCGAGGGCCAACAAAAAATCAAAATACACCCCACTAAGTTTCAGTGAGTGGCCAACAGCCCCCTGCTTCTGCTGGCCACGCCCATGTGTTGTCTCGCTCAGACAATTCAACAAAAGGGTTCCCAGAAAAGCCCACCCATAAAATCAGACAATGGGACAGCTCCCCTCCCCCATCACCCCTTGATACCCACATGAAGGGGAAGCACAAACAAAAGCCCCCATGTGTAGGGGTGGCTGGTCCCCAAGGGAATGCAGGAACCCCATAAGCTACCTGTGCCTAAACCTAAATGGAACCGTTCGTGGTTGAAGTGCGTCCAGCACCCAATGGCAATCTCCGCGTCCTCTGGCAGCATCGTGGTGCAGCCAATCTGGGGACGTACCTTACGCAGCCTGTGCCGTTGCACCGTCCTTCCTGGACCTGGAGCCCCTGGTGGGTCGGGGGAACCAATCTTTGCTGCTTCTTCTGGACTTTGCTTCAGGAGCTGAAACAAGGAGAAGGGACGGACTTTTCTCTAATGATTACAGAGTTTTCAGCTTTAGTGAGGCGCAAGTCAGGGCTGAACAGGGAGAGGTTTCCTGTATCCTGGGGTGGAACAGGTTTCGGTCCCTCCCATTCTGGGAACAGATCCTAGATTAACCCTCTTCAATTTTTCTGCTATTTTCCCTGTTCTCTATCCAGAGCTGTAGAGCGAATCATTCAGTCCTCAGGCATTGCAGGTCCTCTTCTCTTCTCCCCAGGGCAGCCTGGTAACCCCTTCCTCAGCCCTCTGCCAAGTGAAGCATATACCTGAAACCCTGAACTCCCTGCGCCCAACCCCTGCCTGGTGCACAAAGAGAAACGTGAAATTGTTCCCCTTCCAAGCTGTCTCCCCCTTTTGGAGATGCGCTGAGATCAGGCACTGGGCGGATTCTCCACCATGTTGTGTCGTCATTTCCACCAGTGCAAAATGGGTCTAGAGCTGCTCTTCTGGCTCGGTGGAGTTATACACCCACTTTGCACTGGTGTGAATGAGCTTGTAAGGTGCAGGCAATGGAGAATCTTTTATTGTGCACAGGCCCACCCATGGGGGGACGAAGGGGCAGCTGCCTCAGGTCCCAGTGTTTTAAAGGTTCCTAGGGCTCCTGGCCGCTGCCACTGCTACCATGGTAGCGGCCAGAGCCCCGGGCTCTTTAAATTGCCACCGAAGCCCCAGGCGGCGCATGCACAGTGGCACTGAAGGACTGGCTGGGGGAGGCTAGCCCCCAGCCCTGCCCCTTCTGCGGGTCCGGAGCTGGCCCCACCAGTCTTGCCAAGGTATAACAAATTAATGACATCCCCAAATTCATCACAGGACTGCAGTGGGCGAGAGGTTGCCTGGGGGCAGGAGGTTTTAAGGCAGGAGCACAGGAGGAGCATAGAGGACTCAAAGCAAAGGGAGATCACGAGGATGGGACCAAATAATTGTTCCAGGGGCTGGGCTAGGAGCACAGTTAAAAAGTTGTGTGTGTGTGGGGGGAATGTTTACAAAGTCTGCAAACATGTGGGTGGGGGAAGGGAAGACTTTTCCAACTTAACCCCCGCCCCCAACTTTTCAACTGGAAAAGGTGAAAGAGTTTTCATTCTTTAGAAAAATTAATATTTTGGGGTGTGACGCGGGGTTCCTGGGGCAGCACACAGAGAAAATGCCCAGGGCAAGGTGGGCTGCAGAAAAGGAGAGCAGATTCTCCCTCAGATGGTGGTTCACACTGTCGTTACATTTTACATTCACCAGCCAGTCACACATGGGGAAAATAACAGAAACTGAATAGGGTTCATCTAGGATCTGTTCCCAGAATGGGAGGGATGAATCCTGTTCCAGCCCAGGCTACATGAAACCTTTCCCTGCTCAGCCCTGACTGGGCCTCATTAAAACAGGAAACTCTGTAATCAGTAGAGAAAATTCAGTCCCTTCTCTTGGTTTCAGCCCCTGAAGCAAAGTCTAGAAGAATTTTCCCCCAACAGCTGTTTTTGTTCCAGCAGCAAAGATTGGTTCCCCGGACCCACCCACCAGGGGCTCCAGGACCACAAAGGACAGTTCCTCAGCACAGGCTGTGTAAGGTACGTCCCCAGATCGGCTGCCCCACGATGCTGCCAGAGGACAGGGGAATTTGCTGTTGGAGGTTGAACACATTTGAACCACTAACTGTTTCCTTTAGCGTTAGGCACAGGCAGCTTTGGGGGCCCCTTGGGGACCAGCCACCCGCACACATGGGGGCTTCTGTTTGTGCTTCCCCACCTGGAGGAGTGCCCCCCTCCCCCAGGGATCCCGGGCCTAGCCTTGTTGGGGTTACGAGGACTCTGCTGCACAGGAGGGAGGAAGGGGAGCCCTCGAGGGCAGGCCAGATTCTGGGTGAAGGCAGCGAGCACGCAGATCCTGTCACTGTCCGATTCCACCAGGGCAGTGCAGAAGCCAGGAAAGTTCCCCACAATAGCAGGACCACCCCCACTCATGAGAGACACGGTGGGTGAGCTAATATCTTGAATTGGATCAACCTGCATGGGGGAGGGAGACAAGCTTTCGAGCTGCTGTCGGGTGGCTGCCGGCTAAGCAGCTCCACGTGCCAGGCCCTCGCCTGAGTTTCCGTACAAGAATTAAGGGCTGTAGGAATTTTGTTTGCAGTTCGGTGGCTCAGAGTCAGCCCCACTTCCCAGGTTCCTCCCATTTCTGGGAAAGGGGCAGCTCAGCCTGTTGCTTTCGGTTTCCAGGAGCACAGGATCCAAACAGG